GTTATTACGGATATTACATGGTAAATGCCTACCTTGCGCTCAATCCGTAAAACGCGGTCTATCCTGTGCACGTACTCTGTGCCGACAAAAACGAAAATATATGAGACACTGTTAGATGTCCGCGTGATTTGCGGATAAACGACAAACAATTCGACATTGGGTATCTGCCAGATACGGTAAACATTACAAAACGAATACGATACGGCGTGTCGACGGTTTCGGTCGTTTTATCGATGATGGGCACCGAAACGTTGATTTTTTTCCACAGACATTCCATTTTCACATATTATACGATAAATATTATCATGTACGAGGCAACATCATCGCCATATAATATCATTATTGTATATACGAGAGTATAATACGCGACCGGTCGTATAATGTCCAGGACATCCGTTCCGGATGTAACGACGTTCCGGAAAACGCTGGCTAGGATACCGAGGCTGCGAGACTCCCCACCCACCGTCGCCACCGCCGTCTCACCGCAGTTTATCACCCCCCCGCTCGCTTCTATATATTCTCGGAAACGGAGCCTTTTGAATTTTATTATTATTATTATTATTACTATATTATTTTTTTTTCGTTAACGGCTTGTAATAAACTCGCGTGCGAGCAATTTCCGCGGTGGCGGCGATGTCGGACGTCCGAAAGAACGAAAAATAAAAAAAATGAAGATGAACAAAAGAGAACGTAAAGGAACAAGTGTGGAGAGAGTAGGCGGCCAGGGAAACTTTAAAGAGGTAAAAACGGGGGGCGGGGAAATCAAAATGGTATCGGAAAAGTCTGTATTATATAGTCCATACGGTAGTATAGGTATAGAGGGACTAATAAACCGTTTAAATATAATAATAAAAGTAGGGGAAACGTGCCGTGATATAAAACATATAAAATAAAACGGAACAGGACGGGCAGAATAAAAATAAAAAGTCGGAAATCCGTGTTTTTGGCGGGAAGACGGCGTGATTCGATTTATACGCAGTCATATTATATTAAACTGATTGCAATGATGGATCGTTGAAAACAAAAAAAGATTCTGTGCGGATTACACGGTTAAAATGTCAGTACATTATACATTCTGAGTCTGAAAAAAAAAATATAAATAGGTACAAAAAGATGTGTTCCTAGCCTCCAATGGAAAAACATTTTAACGGTCAGTGCCCGCTCTGCGATAGCCGGGACTTTGTTTAAAACGTTTCTTGGAAATTTCCAACGGAAATGGAAACGGTGTGAGGGGAACAGATGTCGGGGAAAACGTCGCGACGGAAATGAGCGAAATTATTTTTGAAATCAGTCTTTTAAGTCCAAAAACGCATTCTCACGGTTCCACACGATATCGTGTCTGTCCGCGCAACGTAGACGGATACCGATTTCGTTTTTTAATACATTCTCGAAACCACCGCGGACCCCGAACACTTTAATATTACCGGTTTCAACGGCATTATAATGACTACAATAATAACATAGCGGTATGTTTTTCGCTCTCGGGCCAAAGGCGCGTAATTATGCAGTGAAATTTATTCCGTACGGCGGCGTTGACTTTACAAGACCGTGAGCGTAAACAGCGTTTTCGCAATCCGCTATGTCGCGCGACGGTAAACTTTAAATTCCCGCGTTACAATTGTTTAGAAAACGAGAAGTATAAAATCCTTTTTAATAACAAATGAAGTTATTACGTTGCGCGCGTAGGTAAACGTTATTGTAAGGCGCGCATGGCGACGGCAACGGCGCTACCGCGAGCGGTGTTTTTCCGCTCCTCCGCCAACCGCTTTTTTTCATTGCGAATTTTGATTGGCAAAATCCTATTACCGGATTATATTTCGACATGTTTAGTTCAGATTTGTGTCAGCCATTCGGATACTCGTATCCCGAGTTTTGTTTGGCTAATTTTTTTTTTTTTTGAAAAATTCACGGAAATAAAATATACATATATATATGTATATTTTAATGAAAATAAAAAAAAAATCAGTACGAGTATGTATAACAATAACACGTGTAAATAAATGTACAGCGCCCGCACGAACGGCAGCAAAATAATAAGCTCTGTCACAGTCGAGTCGAATTTCCCCTTTCGTCCTGATTCTTTATTGTATACAAAAATATTACTCGTAAAACGATAAATGACCGAAAGCCATTGCATTGTCGCGACACTCTTTATACACACATATGTACGTATATATGAAAAATGCTACTGCGACTGTTACGTTCGAAAAAGAACGGCGAAATTCGACCGTAAAAACGGCCGGGGTCTACGGTTAAAAGTCGAAATGCTAAAAAGACCCTTGGATCGACACTAATGCGCGATACGTTTACGAAATTTCTCAACTGCCAAGCTTCGTCCAGGGACGTTGTTCAGAGCCGACCGAAAACGAACATCAATCCTACCCGGGTCATTTCGACGTTCGCCAAAATTCGAATCACGGATCCTGAGTGTGTTTCGGTGCGGCGATTAAGAGTACGTTACACAGGCATTTGTTATTTCTGTCTTGCAAACACGCGATATAGTAAGAACACGCAGACTGTTATGAAGTAACCAGTTATGAAACTGATAGAGGACAATTTTTCTTACAAACTTTTTTGTTAAATAATAAAACGTTTAAAAAGTTGATTTTTATAAACGGGAGATTGACCCGTTATACCCGGAGAGACAGGAAAGAAACCCAACGTTCTGTCTTCCGCAATATTGTCCTCTTTTAATTTTGTGACTAGTGTTTTCGCTCTAAAATCAAAATCTAGTTGTGTAATCAGAGCGTTGTAACTGTTCCGTAAGTTTGTAATACGGAAGCAACAAATGCGCGTGTACACCGTCCTCTTGACCCACGAATACTATTCGGACGTGTTTTACATTGGTTCCGAACCGAATTGACTACAACGATATCGTTTAACGATAGCATTGACACGACACGCGTCTGGAGACCGTTTGTCGGAGTAACGGTCACGGGAAAAAGAAGAGAACGGAGACCGGGAACCAGCTGCTTCGTTAACGGCACGGTAATGGACGGCCGAAATCCGAATTTCTGTACGGGAATTCGGATCGGCAGCACCGGTATACAACAATACAGTGTAGAAGCGCGCTCGCGTATAAAATCGGCAGTTTATTCGTTCCGTACGCGGGTATATAGACGGCGGAGGATTTATCGACGGTACACGCGGTAATAACCGTGGGCGACCGCGGTACGTAAAACGGGCGGTCAATGGTGTATGGTACCGTCAGCTGTTGCTGAAAAATCCGTAACGCGCGCGTGCAACGGCGCGCACGTGAAACCGTTAAGCGGTGTAGGAAAGTTTATAAAAATGCAAAAAAAAAAAAAAACCGTAAAACCCGTGAGTTTCGGTGCTATGTAGGTGTTTGACCGGGAAATCGCGAAATATATTAAAACTGTCGGCGGCCCGGAGGCGATTGAACGAACGGCGTTTTAAATTTTACCGGCGTAACTTTCGACCTTGTAGGGGTTTGTTTAGAGGCACTAAAACAAAATAAAGCGAAACGCTAGAAAATTAAAGAAAAAAGACCGACACGCGGTAAAATGCGATTATAGTCGTAAAGTCGATGGAAAGAACTTGTTAAAAATACGGTTATTCGGGTCGTTTACAGGTATTGATATTCCGCGTGATAATCGTAACACGCGTCGATAAAAAAAAATCGAAAGAAAAGCCCCGGCTTAACCGTAGATAAAAAAAAAAAACACGGGAATGTCGTGACTACCGAAAGAAAAAAAGACGCATTCGAAAGAAACAAAAAGGAAACGCGATAAATTTGCCGAGCGTTTGTGTGCGGACGGTCCGCGAGAACATCGCGTACGTCCGACAGCCTGTCGGCAACGCGTCGCCGACGAACAACCGTACGGATCGTCGTAATTACGATTCCGGAATCCGGGCGCGGGCCGAAAACTGCGGACGGGAGGCAGAGACCGCCGAAATTCGCTCGAAAATTCCCGGCATACGGTAATCGCTCTGTACATGCGCCCGCCGTCGTCGAAAAATAACCGCTCGTCAAACCGTACACGAGCGCTCTCGTACCCGCACTACAAAACGGCCCGCGGCGACGGCGGGGAGGAACGTTTTCGAAAAAAACGGTGCGCAAACACACGTCATTATTAGGGTCAAACGGCTCGGCGGCCGGCGGCCGGGTACGGGTGGGAGCGGGCGGCGGCGGCGGTTGGCACGGTTGAATAAATACGCGCGCGATACACGCACACACACACATACACACACACACACACACACACGGGCGCGCGCGCGGCGTTTTGCGAAATTCCCCGGGCCGGAGAGTGGCGCGGCGGGGGGAAAGGGCTCGGAGCCGTCTAATTACGGGCGCTTCCGTCGCGCGCGCCCGCCCGAAGCGCGGTATAGATATACGCGCGCACACACACGAGCGGCGGCGGCGTTGGCGGGGCGGAGTCGCATTCGTGCAGCGCCTCGGCAATGCGGGCGCGGACGGGGATGACGGGCGCGGGGACGGCGAGAGCCTCTGGTTCTGGCGCCAAAACAAATGTTAAATCATTAACCGCAGACTTCTCCGCGCGCGGCCAAAAGCGGCGCGCAACACACAACACGCGGCGGCCGCCGCCGCTGGCACCAGTCACTCAACCGATTTATACGCGAGCGGTAACGTATAGCGTATTTCCGCCGCCGCCACTCCCTACACCCTCCCCCCACCACCGCCACCGCCGGCCGCCGGGGCCCGTTTCGCTTTGTCCCTTCCGCGCGTAATTATTATAATATTATTGCCGCCCCCGTCCCCCCCGCCCCACCATCACCAGATCCAGCCGACCGTAGCGTCGCTCACGCGAGCGCGCGCGCGCGCGCGATGTCCGTACGCCGCGATTGTCTTATCGCATTCCATTAGCGCGCGCGCGATTACACGCGAGGCCCTCGATAACAGTTGCGCGGGGCCCGGACTCGCGCGCCGCTTTTTCATCTTTCCGTCTTCCGCCGTCCGGAGTGCCGAGTACGCGCCCCGCGGGGAGATTGATTAACGCCGCCGCCGCTGTTGTTATTGCGGTCGCGGAACGATAAAAACAAAAATCCGAAAAATCCGTTCGTTCAACGTTTTATTATTATTATTATTTTTTTTTTTAACACGAATTCGGCGTTGAAACGGCTGTTGATAACCGCGATACGAAATCGATCGCCGGATGTATGTGTGTACGGATGACAATACGTTTACCCCCCTCCCCCCTCTTCAAAATTAGTGAACCGGAGGACGCCAAAAATGAAGTTTCGACGGATAAACCGGGAAACGAATAATAACGGCGGGATTTAAATTTACCCGGGAAATTCGCTTTTTTTTTTTTTTTTGGTAGTTACTGTTCAAGTTAGTTTGATATTTCAGTTTGACTTCTAGAAACGCTAGAAACTATAAAAGTACTCGTTACGGCAGATTTTTTTTTTTTATCAATTTTACCATAGCGACGATTTTGGATTCTGAACGCTGCTGAATTATATTGGACTTATCGTAATGTATACGTGATTTTTTTTTTAGATATTAAAGTTTCGATATTGTGTACGTGTACACTTTTTCCACCAGAAATTACACTCCAAAGAAAAACGATAAGAGTTATTTTTGTAAACGCGGTAAAGTTGTCAAAACTCAAAACTCTGGAAAATTTCGCATTATTTATTGGTATTTTTTTTTATTTTTTTTTTTGATTTTTAAATATTTATCTGGTTTTATATAGAAAAAATAAAATCCGAGTATAGCGCGTACGCGTTTTACACAGCCAAACTTTCGGAAACGTCACTAGCGACGACAAACCGTTACGTGTAATTCATAAGAATCGTATTGAATTTTCACCCGTCAATTTAGCAATTATTTCCGAGACTATAAGAACTTCGGTTTTCCCGATTTTATTTTTTTTCTGGAATTTTTCTCACCAATCGCAATAACTATGACTCCGTCTTTGACTCCTGTTCGAGTTCGAGCTCTTGTAAATCGAAAATTCGCGGTAGTCCTAATTTCGAGACCAACCAACGCGGGCGTATATAATTATGTCTTTCTATTTAAATATTTGTACGTTTTTTTTTTTTTTTTGTCATTAATTCGAATTTCATACAATCGTGTTCGTGTTCCACGTAGACAATCGTCTTTCGAGCGCCGTACAAGACCGTCGTCGTTTAAGAGTAATCGTCCGGAACCGTGTAATCGTATTAAACAACATAATACATTTCGTTAAGAGAGCATACAATAATAATATTCTTTTACCGCCGCGTAATCGTCTTAAGTATTAAAAAAAAAAAAAAACTCGCGTACACCGGCCCGATGGAATATAATAAAATCGTAAAACGTTTCGGGCATAAAAAAAAAAAAAAAAAAAAAAAAAATGTAATAACAATACGTAAAACGATCCCGGGGAAATGCCTTTATTTTTTCCTAAGTATCGTATTGCACCGTGTGCGCGCACACACGACACGTCACTATGTAAACATGTACACACGTGGACTATGCGCATACACCAGTAGATTGATTTTTTTTATATTCGTTTTTTATTTTTATTATTATTATTATTTTTTTTATATATATCGACGACGCTCGTTAATGTTTTTGTTATGACGGTTTTCAATTACACGCGCCGCACACGATCGGACGGCGGCGGGGAATGGGCCCGATTAAAATATAATCCAGACGGCATTTTTCCAATAAACTCCGCGGCGTCGGTACACACAGGCTCTTTCGTGTTACGATGCCGACGACGACGCGTAAGACGATTTTTTGTTTTTTTTTTTTATTTGGTTTTTAACCGACCAATACCGAGACGGTATTCGTGCACAGCCCGGCCGGCGGAGAACGCGTTTTGCCGTTGTGCGCGTGTTGTCCTTCTGTGCGTGTACGGACACGTTTTCGACAACAAAACTCGATACATACGTGTGTATACGCGACGCATACGTCGTTCCGATATTGAAAACGCACCAAGCGCATATAACGGGGGACGACGTTTGAAATCGCACGCGAAAACCGGGTGCAAAGCGCTGTACAAAGTTTTTATCAAACGCAGTGTGCAACGAAATCACGAGCGGGTTTGAACGTCAGTAGGACCGCTTTTTTCGGGACGGTGATTTCGGGTTGTCGACACTCGAAATTTAAACGTTACACCATCTCCTTATTGCTTTACACCGTTTACACATCACGTACCCGTGTACATTTCGCGATGGATTTTAACGGCCGACGGTCGTGTTTCAGTGCGAAACTCGTTGGTCGGCAGCGATTCTGAGTTGTACACAACGGCGTATAATATCGCACGCTCGCGCATTAAAACACAATTATTGTCTACGGTCGTGCTGCCGTGTTGTTGGTTGTTTGACGCGCGCGAGTTAAATACGTGCGCTGCTCACTTCTATCGGACTTTCAAATCGGCATCCAAACGACAGATGTTCGCACTCAACTACGTTTTCTCGCCGCCGTTACTCGTTAACGGCAAACGCATATTCAATCGACGGCTGCGAAAATAAATGTACATAGGATTTCGTTCGCGTTTTAAATGTTTAACCCCCCCCCCCTTAAATCTCCCGAAAAATAAGCTAAATTTGTTTAAGATCGCCCAAACAGTTTCGGATTATCATTTTTAACAAAACTATTTCGTTACGCATCACTCTGTATTCCGTGTATTTATATCAAACCGAATATCGCCCTAATCGTCGTAGCTTTTCGGGGGGATGGGGAGGAACCGCGAGAAAAATTTATCTTATTTTCATTATTTTACAGACACGCGAATAATTTAGCTAACTGTTATTCGCGTACCTAAATTGCCTACACGAGACGCCGTTTTCCCGGCGATATTTCTTAGTAATATTATCGTTGCGGGTTAATATTTGCGATTGGACTCGGATTTCCCCGGGGTTTTTCAATCCGGACCGATCGTTTGCTCGGCTGACGGTGATTGTTATTGATAACATTCGCATTGATGTATACGTTTCTGAACATACGTCTGGCCTCGTGTGTTGCGTTGTACATTATACGGGTGCAAATATGTTCGACGAGCGTTTATTCATTTCGTTTTGGTTCGGCGCCCGTGACGAGAAACGGTAAATATTCGGTACTCGGAACGTTATTTGGAACGTACGGAGAACGGACGAACCGCGGCTCGCCCGAAGACGGACGGTGATTTCGTTCCGCTCTGTTTCCACGGGCCTTATTCCCGCGCGGCCCGAAAATGCGGGAAATCCGCAAAAACCGCGGAATAAAGAAAAAAAAAAAAAAAATCCGCGCGGGTATCCCGGACGGAAACGCGCACGGCGGGCAGACAGCGGTATGACGACGCGGCCGCGGTCACGTAATTTTCGCGGTCCTGCGGCGTTACGCCCGCGTGTCGCCGGGTATCCGGAGAGCGGCCGCGGGAATGAATAACTCGTGCGCCGTTAACGTTATTATATTATTGAATGTAATGCGCTCGACGTTGCGGCGCGCGGTAATAGCAGCGGTGGCGGTGGTGGTGGCGCGTAGTAATTTATAACGGCAGCAGCAGCAGCAGCAGCAACAGCAGTAGTAGTAGTAGCGGCAGTAGTAGCGATAGTAGCAGTGGTAGTAGCAGTGACGGCAGTAGTAGTAATAGCAGTAGTAGCAGTAGTAGCAGTAGTAGCAGTAGTAGCAGTAGTAGTAGCGGCAGTGGTGGCGGCAGTGGTAACGGTAGTACTACGGTACGCGCGCGCCGCAGTCATCGATTTCGATACGCGCTCGTGACCCGACGGCATTGCGTTATAATTATTACGATTATTGTTATTATCGTGCGCGTTTCAACGTGCGACGGCGGGCGCCGGAATAACGAAAAAAAAAAAAAAAAACGACTACGGCGACAGAGGAAATATACGCTATTTGCGCGCACAGGGACGGAAACGACGGGTGAACGTCGAGCGAATAATGTACGTTACGTTAACCATATGGGCGATCGTAAAATGGGGGAAAAAAATTTCGCGCGCACCGCGGCTCGTACTACGCGCGGGACGGCGGCGGAAGCCGTAGTAACGCTTCCCATTGATGTCGTCACGCCGGGCGACGGGCGCGTTCCATTAATGGTACGCGCGCGGCGCGGCGCACGCGAGTGCGGCCGCGGCGGTACCGCATGCCGCGCTGGCCGGTGCGCATACCTGTCGTTCGGCGGGCGGGCGGCGAGACGACGACGTCGTCGTCGTCGTCGTCGTCGTCGGCGTAACGCACGGACTGCTTGGCGCGGCGGCGACTCGCTCGCCGGAGTATCGATCGGCGGCGGCGGCGGTCGTGTTCCACCCCGTTCCGCCGGTCGCGCCGGCATCTCGCAGCGCCGCCGCGCGCCACGTGCGCCGCATCGTCTGCCGTCGGCTCGCGCCCACCTGCACCCGTTGCGAGTCGTCGTCGTCACCGCCAGTCGTTTCGGATTCGCTTTTTTTTTCTTTTTTTTTTCGCCGTTCGCCCCCGTCGCCGTTTCCGGCACAAGTCTCTCGGGTCGCACGCTTTTTATCCCGCGACCGGTTCACTCCGTATCCCACGTCTTACCTCCTTCGAATTGTCAGGAGGGCGCGGGGCACGTCGGCCTGGGGGCACCGGATCCTACCGCCCCTCTCCATATTATTATTTTGTACCGCAGGTGTTTACCTACTTTTTGTCCCTGTCAGAGGGAGGGGGGGGGGTTAACAACAACTACAAAAAAATATACACGAAAAATCCGTCCGTCTCACAATATTTTACTGAATTAAATTGTTCCAGGGATCCGTTCCTGTTTTCCACCCGTCTTTTGAACGACACGAATTTGTAATACTCGTTAGTTATGGACAGAGAAGAGAAAAATTCGCGACGTTGAGCTCCCCGAAACTGCTTGAAAAATGTACTGCGAGAAAAACGAAAAAAAATAATCAAACGAAAACGTTTTTACGCGCTAAAAACCGTTCACAAAAATTCAAAACGAAACGTCAAGGACGGCGGTTAAAACAAAAAATCGAACACCTCGAGATCTGTTTGTTTCGAAAACCAAACTAAAAATTTCAAAAAATCGAATCGAACTAAATATCCAACAGTTCCAAAATCATTCTGTGCGGTCACCAATACGATGTTCTGTGGTGGGAAAGGACAGCCTTGTTATAAAAAGAATTGTTCTATTTTTTTCGCATTATTGGGTCTCATAATCGGAAATCACGGAGCTCAGCAGTTTGAGAACCTAGATTTTCGATCTGGCCTAACCTAACCTTTTTATTTGTTCTAGTTCGATAAAATATTTTAAAATTGCGCTTCGGTTCGGTTCGTCACATTATTTATTGAACGGCCGTATGCAAAACGGATCGCCGGAACAAAACGACCTTTGGAAAAACGATTCGTTTTTGAAGCGGGCGCACCGAAATCCCGGCCCCAGTCGGCATGTACCGAGTTACACTGTCGAAAAATAAAAAATACATAACGTTCGGTGGTTTTTTTTTTTTTTTCTATAAATTTGTTTTCGTAACACGCGAGATTTCGATCGAACGGAATAATAATAACAACAAGACGCGCGTCATAATAATAGTACCGTATAAACCTTTGTCGCCGTCAATCGCTCTATAAAGAAACGGTTGTTTTTTTTTTTTTATTATTATTTACGTGACCCATTTATTCGCGAATATTTATTTTATTTTTTTCGGGTTTTTTTTTTTTTTTTTTTTTTTTTTTTTTTCGGGTTTTTTTTTTTTTTTTTTTGTTATTATATTTTCATTATTGAATTCTACACGGACCCCGTTTTCGCCCGTCGTATATCGTTGGGTTTTCATTCTCGAGCCACTGCAGCAGTAGTACTACGCGTCACCCCTCCATACGCGAACGGCGGCACGCACCCGAGTATAATAATATACGGTCGCGACTTCCCCTCACTGGGTCAAACACCCGACTCCGTTTACGGTAATAATAAATATCGAGTACGCGGGACCGGAGCACGTACATTTAATATTAAATTTTACGCTCAAAAATTATTTGTTTATTATTATTTGTAAAAATTCCGTAGAGCTAACAATCGTATTTGCGTTCTCGTACGGAAAATATCGAAATTTTCCACGCCCCCGAATCCTTTTTCACCGAAGAAAAAAGCTCAGAAGTTTTCTTTCCATACGCCTACATTTAAGACTCTTGGAATTTTTGCCCGACCTTGGCGGTTCTCTTTGTATTATGTTTTTTATCCTTATTTCCGGGTACAATTTGACGCGGTGGTCCGCGCGTCAAACGATTTCATGCGCTCAAAAAAACAAAAAGAGAACTGTATTACGAACAATGAAATACGCTCGGAAATTTCAAAAGGCTTCTTAATCGAAAAATAAAAAAACCGTTATTGCGTAAGTTTTACCAGTGTTCCTGGACTGTCGAGAAACCTATGCACGGGAATAAGCGAAGCCAAAAAATATCCGACGGAGATTTCGGATAGCGAGTTTTCTGTTACCGCGTAAACCACGTTCCGATCTTCGATATTTTTCGGTTTCGTTTATTCAGACAGCTCGGTAAAATTCAATCTTTCCGAAACACGTGCATTTCGAACAACGATTTTTCATTTAGTTCGTACTTGTACAATTACGTGTGCAGTTTGTGTGTTAAACGGAAGGTAAAAAACAGAAAAAAAAAACAGAATAGCGCTGCACTTTAAACTTTATAATCACAGTCGTCATCGTCGCCGTCGTGTATATAATAATATTTTCGTGTTGTTTTCCTATCTATAAAGCACACGACTGTGCACAAGAGTGTGACTCTCTCGCGGAACCCCGCCGTCTTTTCGAGCGCTCCACTCGAGTCGTTTTTGCATGTTTTAATACGCGGCAAATTAGCGTTTATCATATAAAAAGAAAAATTCACAAACGAAAACGAAAAGACCGTAAAAAAAAAAGGACTGACTTACTTTGCATGTGGATGTAGCCACTGTCGTAGGTGGAGTGGAAAGTTGGAAGGTAGGATACAGACGGGAATTCAAAGTATATCTGTATGCAACGATAAACCATTGCTAACGAAAAAACGATTCTCAACCGGATTCAGTTGATGATGTTGCTTTATCAACAATACAATTTATGGTAAAATTATTACAAAAATGTGCGTTTCCATGACAAAAACGATTGTTTATAAAAAATTAAATTATTAAAAACTTAATAATAACAAAAAAAAAATATAAACGGTTGCCAATGACAATATTATTTTTAATCTTCCAAACTTTTTTAACCTTAAGACCGAATTTTTTCTCATTATTTCGTATATTAATGAGAATTTAAAAAAATGACGTCTACAAAGTACCACCAGAGAAAATTTCTTTCAGAAAAGGTGCTTTATATTGATAATCGGAGTATGCTTTTCGGTAGAAAAAGTGTTGATGCAAAAAAAAAAAAAATAATAATAAAAAAATAACATCATTGTAAAACCAATAGATTCCTCGTGTCATTTAGAATTTAAAAATAGGTGTTTGAGGACGTAGTGGTATTATGAGCCTTTAAATAAAAAATTCAATTCGCCTTTTCTACGCGCGAAAACGATTCGCGGAAACAATACGCGTCTTTATGACATTTTTTTTTTGTCGCTTTCGATATACATCCGATGCAATTTTTTAACGCGTGATTCAATTGCTATTGGTCACGCGATACATTTTAAAACAAATTCTACCGCATAATTTATAAATAGTTATTGAATTATTGTTATGTAGTCTCGGTGCACAAAGTGTGCGAAAAAAAAATAAAAACAATTAACTATGCTTAAATATTATTATTATTTTTTTTTTTTGTCATATTTGTTCATTATTTAATGAAAACCAACGGGCACTTAAGTAAATTTATTACACACACCACAACCGAATGAAACAAAAAAAAAAAATTCACGTTATTATTTATTACGATTCTGTTTTTTTTTTTTTTTTTTTTTACGACAAACGTTAAAAAAAAACCAATTGACGAGTTATTATAATCGTCAACGTTCCCTTTTTTTTTTTTTTTTAATACTTTTAAAATATTAATGCGGTGAATGACAAAATAAAAAAAAACCACCAATGACCGATAAAGTTCTGTAACTATAGAGAGTAGACATTTTTCTACTCGAGAGTCTATTTGGTATTATAGACCTTTTTTGACACAAAAAAATAACCGAATACTGCGGTTACAATATACTACAATTATACTACTTCTAAAAAAAAAAAAGAAAAAAAGGTTGAAATCTGGCCGTAAAAGCAGTAGGGTGGTGGTAGAAAGTCGAAACTCCCAAAAGGCACATGCTTAAAACTAACGTCATGCGTGTATAACATCGTCTCCCCTCATTTTCAACCGGGGAGTCTATAGGGGTTTACGAAGCTAAAAAACACCATTCTCCGGCATCAACATGGTGAACGCATTCCACTGACATTTTATCATTTCAATCCACCCGTATAAACAAAAAACTTTAATTCCCGAGTACGAGCTCATTTTGTCCGGAGGGAGCTTTGCTAAAAGTATTCGAAAGTACCCAGAATATACACATCAGAAAAAGTGCAACAATAAATTATTAAGTTTGAATGTGTTCGGAAACATTTTTAAAAAAAATGTGTTCTTTTATGTGATACATAACGCCTCCCTGTCCTCTGTCCGTCCAGGTACGTCTCTACGTACCTAGTCCACAACTAAATACGACTCGCGGTAGCTTTGTCGTAATACCAAATATAACAGAATTTGTTATTATTTTTTTTTTTGATATTTTAAATGACCACGTTCCCGGTTCCAAATCTGCTGGATTTTGAATTACCTATAAATTTACATGTAATTTCGTTCCCATCGATATTCCTTCTTTTTTTTTTTTTTTAGTACATTTACTGTAAAATAAAAATAAGATGATACAAATTATTAATATGTTTACATTAAAATAACTACTTCCATTAATCGCAACTCTTGTTATGAAGGTAGTGAGTTACATTACATAATATGACAAATAATACAACTAAATTCAAAAGAAAAAGTGCAATAAAAATTCATAAGTTACATTAAACATTTATTTAACACATTTTTTAAACTAACAATGCGTGGATGTTTAAAACTTCAGTTTTTCTAGTTTTTCTATGCAAATAATATAGTGGATCAACGATACTATCAATTAAATCACATTTACTCATTAAACTCGAATATTACAAGGTTAATATATAGTTTTTCCCTAAAGTTCACAAAAAATAACATAAGTTTCACTTGGAATCAATTGAAATTTTACTGTTACAAAAATAGCCAATTTGTAGAAATCTATAAAAATTCTCCGATTTTTCTTAGAAAAAACAAAATGTTATAAATCAAATCACCCTTATCAAGTTGACGACTTGTCAAATTGTTTTTTAAATTGTGTAGAATCACTGTATTATATTCAACTTGTTGTTTTACAAATGCTCGACGATTCGGTCGGTCGGTTTCAGCTCTTTCTCTGTACAATGTTTCGCCGAACAATCCAGATACGTCGACACTCGATAACTTTTCTTTTTTTTTTTTTTTTTGAAGGGAAATTTTCGCTACATATTTTCGGAGATCTTTTCCGATTATATTCTCAACGTAATCTTATTCAATAATCGAATTCTACGAATAATTCTACTACGACCCGTTGTATTAGCACTTCTGCACTTTGGTTTTCCGCCAAAGACACGTTTTGTTTCCCCGTCGATTCGTCTAATAACTTCTCGGGATCTTTATACTCGTATTCTTCATCACACAATGAACATGCACACATCGTAAACGTTTCTGCTTTTCTCGTCTCGCCAGTCCGGGTTTCAAATTCGCATTACATCGCATTCCGCACAATGCAAACATCTTCAAAAGGTTTTCATTAATGTCGTATCCGGCAATGATGTTCGGGTGTTAATTTAATGAGGTTTTAATTTTGAAAAGCCATTTCGGCTCACAAACTTACGACGAACAAGTCGATCGAGTTTGCAAAAACACAAACTACTATCGCATAATAATATATTATCTAAAAAAAAAAATGAAACAAAAAAACAACGTGATCTCTCGACTTTTCATCTTTACATTGCGTTATTCGAATTGGCCAATCTCTCGTAAACCGTCTACTACCCGTTAATCGTCTTGTACGGTATCACGCACGTGCATTTTATACACTCAAGAGACGCAGTGCGTTTGTTGTACGCGAATCGCAAAACATAACAAAACCTCGAAATAATATTATTGCACGAGCGCGGAACAATGGCGTTTGGCGAAAATAAAGGTATTATCATTACAAAGATGTGTATACGGCTTCGATAAGTTCTAAAATTAATTTAATAGTTTTGTGTGCGCCGAGTTTTAACCAAGCCGAGCTTTGTTCGTCGTCGATCGCCGTAATAATATTTTTATAACGGTATACTGCCGTAGTTTGTTATTCCGAACGAATTATAATATGTACAACGAAATAGTGAACCGATTGTGAAAAACCTCGAAAAGAGAAAACCCGGGGACCTTACCCGGCCAACACATTCGGATTGAGTTGAAAACGCGTTTTGCACGGTGTCGGCTATGCGCGTTCAAGAGCGCGCGACGAAATTAAACGAAAATCCGGCGAATCGAACGGTCACTTCGGCGCCCGAGTACCGGCGACGCGTATTACGGCCTCGTAACAGGTGCGCGCGTGAAGCTTTCGTAAAGGCCGCGTTATCGCGCTCACGCGGCGGCGCACGCCGAAACGCGCGTGCCCGTACACAAACGCGGCGCGAAAACAATTTCCAAACAATTCGGGCGCATCGGATTTTCCGCTCCGCGATACCGGCGCGCGCGTGTGATTATGGAACGGGCGAGAGTGTGCCCCGGTCGAAAAGCGATGAGACCGCGCGCGAGTCGTGCGAGCCGACGAACTCCGGGAGCTCACGCCCGGCCCCCGACGTCACTGTGCGCGTAGCGAAGCGCGAGGGGATTTCGCCGAGCCGAGTTTAATTATTGGCGTTTACCGTAATGCGTCGTCGCCGCGAGTATTTAACGACCGCACGGCCACGGCGAAACACCGCGATACGTATTGTTGTTGTTTACCGCGCCGGTTGCGAATTTATCCGCCCCGGCGGCCGGCGTATCGTCGAAAACTCCCGGGGTACCCGCCGCAGTATTGTCGGAAACTCGCGGTGCGTCCGCGGTACTCTTGTAGCGCGCTACACGAGTACACGTGCTTTTACGCGTGACGGCGGTTTAAAGGTCCGCACGCGAACGCGCCCGCGCGTTTCGATAAGAAACCGGGTGATTATTATTTTTACGGTCTGGTATTGGGGTTCGCGGTAATACTTTGGCGGTACGCGACGTCGCACAATCACGAAACGGGTGTTGATATGTTTATCCGTGTATGCGCGTTCTCTTATTAATTTCATCGGACAATGTTCTTTTGTTTTTTTTTTTTTTTTGTAGGCCCGGACCTCTTTAAGATAGGCTGGGATCCGGGCACCGCACGAATGACCCGAGAAAACCGGCTTTAGTACCGGTCGTCTAACCGTCGGTATTTTTAACTAGCGTTTCGAATCTGTCCTGGAAAATAGAAACACTGTTGCACTCGGAAGTGTGTCCGATAATTTCAAACAAGATGAAGCATACATAGTAAACAAGTGTCACGATTAAATCGTCTAATCTTCTTCTACTAAACCTAATTTTATGGAAGGGATTTGAAAAAAAGATTAAACAAAAGCAATTTTCCTTCTATAAATCAACCGTTGTCTTGTATTTCGACTGAAATGTAATACATCACAAAAATGAAATACTACTCATATGGCCGCTGCGTTTTTAATCCGAAGGGGGAGAAGGCTCCCAATGAAGCCGAGGAGATGAATTTGTATACGCACGGAATTAGTTTGTGCACTGCGATTTTCGAATTTCGATTACCCCTCCCTCCCATTTACCATTTTTATTAAAGTAGTAATGTAACTACATTAGTTGTCTATAGTGTTGTTGTTTTATGTAGAAAAAATTGCTATAATACTGATAAACAGGCGAGCGGAGACATTTTGACACTAGTGCCGTAATCGCGTTGCTCACCGGTGCTTTGTATATGTTCTCTCCCGTCGTGACCTGCAGCACAAAATACATCTCACGAGAACGCAAAGTTAAAACTCGTGAATAACTATATATATATATATATATATACATATATACTATACGAAAACATTTTTATTTAATTAATAAATCTTTGTCGAACGCGTGTTTTTGTGATGCTCAAGCGTAATGTCGTGCCCGACAAACGAGAGCACATTATGATATTATTATATACGCGTGAAAGTATAATACATTTCAATTAACTAATGAAATAAAAGTTGTAGTACACCGTGTTTAATGGACGTACGAGTCCGTCACACGGGTACATTAAGAATATAATAATATTATACCGTGGCGCGGTCAAGTAGCTTTTGATAAAACGTATATCGTATTAAACAACAGGGTGTGCCACCCTGAACAGTACGTCCTTTGTTCGGCTAAAACGAAAAAAAAAGCACAAAAATTCACCGTCGACTATAAACATTATCGAGTATTTTGGTTCGTCTCCTCAGACGTTTTACGCGCGTCCGCTCTCGGTAACGCGAATTATATAGAACCATGACTCAAACGCGTTTCGCGTATTCTCAGGTGTCTGTGTTTGTTGACTCATCACGTCCATTACGAAACCTCGGAGAAAAATATGATCACATTCGGTGACTCTCAAGGGTCCAAAAAAGCGACGGGAGATTCCAATCGACTGATCCCCTTTGACATCGAGCAGACGACCAGTTAGCAAGGGGCCCGTCAAAATTCAAATGAAACAACTCCTGAATCCAGAGGGAGAGCCGGTAGAAGAACCACTCGAAACGTCACCGAGAGATAAGAAACGAAGTAGAATCGTATTGTAGAAACGCTGCATTTCCAATAACATTTTGTTCGAACTCCGATAACAGAACTTTTTAAACTTTTATTCGAAAACAAAAACCGCAAACGATAAATCACATATAAATTATTATAACAACATATGGAATAAAAGTAATTTCAGTTGAAAGTCTTCTGTTGTGTTTTTAATGTTTCCACGGTTTTATTATTAAGGAATACATAACGCAACGAGGTATCATTTTTTTTTTATATCAATATTATGTATACTATTTATATAATTAGTATTTCATGTTTAATTGAAATAAACGCAAAAACGTAATATTATGATGTATCTATGAGTATTCGTTAAAGATCAACGAAAAACCGTTAAAGACCGTGATAATAACTGAAGTCCTTCGACTCTTCCTTATGTTCCGTCGAAAAAGTATTGAGCCGAGCCGGAAATGTTAAATTTTAGATTTTTGCCTAACTCCAGTTTCAGAATGTGTTCCGCGCGGTTCCCTCGGTCGTACGCGAGAAAGAAGAATGCAACTACACTGACATCAGTCGAAACCGATTCGTATATTATTATTTCGGTCGCTCGTGATAAACCAATTTATATCGTTTACATTTATCACGGTAAATCTTTGTTCGCCTACGTTTCATATCATACGATAATACTGTGTTGATTATACACGTGCTCGCGTACCTGTATATATATATAAATATATATTGAACATATATATGATATGATGCAAAGACAACAATACGATTACCGGTGTAATCTCGACCGGGTTTGCGGATCGTTCGAAATACCATACATACACTGTGCACATAACACGACGTGAGTAGGGGACGGGCTGCACTGGGTCAGGCGCGATTCGCTATGATAACTATATGTAAAAACGGTTCTTTTCGAAACTAAACGCGTTTTTTTTATTTCGACATTTTTATCGGCGCGACCGTGTCGCGACACACGTTGATTTGCATTATTGTTTTTTTTTTTTTATCACGAAAGCTTATAACGGAGGTTAAGTTTACATAAACGTTGTGAAGTAGAGACGTTTTTGACCGCAGCGGCTGCAGACAAAAACGGACGAAAGCGAAAACATAATATACGAAAAAAACAGACCCCCGAAAATTAAAGACGATTGTGCTGTGCGTTTATACGAAAATAATTGAAGACCCTTAAAACAAATGACACTATTCTCGGTCAGACTAAAATGGCGGGGACGACGACGGCGGCGGCGATGTCGTTAAGTCGGATACAATAGAGTGGCACAATTTTAAGCCGACCGAGTGCCGCCATCGCTATGTATTATTTTTACTATTATTATTGTACTTGAGCAGCCGTTCAAAGTCTACAACGTTACGATATTATTATTATTATATACAAGCATTATTATTATACACTCGTGGCCCTGTCAAGCGACAGGCGTTTGATTGAGCGTTTACATAAAAATCTTTTTTTTTTAAATTTAGAGAATTATACAGCGACGACCTCGATCGGAAACTACGAACAGTGAATGAAAATAGACAAATGAGATGTAACTCGTATTATCGAAACACACCCAAGCGCGCAAAAACGATAATTTTCCTTCGAACAACCGATATTCGTTGGACGCGTTTTCTTATCCGTCGAAAATCATATTTCTTAAAATATTTTTCGATTTTAGCGAAGTAGCTAATGCTCTAGAACCACTTCTATCCGACATTCTTAGCGTCGATAGTATACGCAATGAAAATAAATAGACTGAGATGATTTGGGCGTGTTAAGAGGTGAGAAGCGGTAATAATTTCAGTGAAAATAAACGTAAGAGGAAAAAGGTGGCGAGGAAGATCGTAAAAATAGGTGGCTAAACGCGATTGAGAATGCAATAAACACGGTGGATGTACGCAGAGACAATTTGGAGGATTGGACGAAATAAAATATTAGGACGAATGTGGGCGACAGCAAATATTTAGAATGAAGACAAAGAACAAGAAATAGTTTTGACCCTACAGCAGTTATAAGTTGTTCATGTATTGTGTAATGGTTTTATGAAAAAATAAACCAAAAATAACTAAAAAAAAAAAAAAAGAATGATTAAAATAATAAATAAAGAGTTAATATATTTTATTAGTGAAATGTTAAATAATGTTTCTCGGCTACATAGTTTGCGATAATATTAAAGTTAGTTTTGTACGGACGGCGCTATGAATAGGCAATTCAACACCGCGGACGCAGAGCGGAGCTCGTGACGATTACGGCAGACAAAGACGTTTTCTGTGCGTAATAAAATATAATAATTATAATAACTGCACCGTATTAATATTTGACAAAACACAGTACGAACGAGCAATTCAAGTGATTTAGATGCCGGTATCCGGAAATTTGGCGTCAAAAAAACACGTGTGGAACATATATGACGGGTATTAAAAGGTTTTTTTTTTATAGAAGTCTGGTGGGCTATAACCCATGAATAAAAACGAATTAATTACACGTAACGACAGAAATTCGCGTTATACTAACGAGCTAAACGGGTTTTTATTTATTTATTTATTTTTTTTTTTTCCCCATGAAATTCGCTCACTAACTGCAGATTTGTCAAAGTTAAATATCCGTAGAAAAACCGTTCGCCACTTTTATTGTAACACAGAGTATTTGCATGGCCATAAAACTGTCAATAATAATTAAAATTCCCCGACTTTTCGAATATTATGCACTTTTTCTCCCGGTCAACGTGACGGTGTTTTAATTTTGTTCATTTTATGCGAATATTTTATTACTGCTTAAAAGTCACGTTATGTGCTGCTACATTAATGATACTCCCACTACTTTCCCTAAAGTCCAAACTTAAGAGTGGAATAACTTGTGAACGGAAATCAACAATTTTAACGCCAACGTTCAATTAGTTTAAATAATCTATCGATAAACGGAAATGTTAGTGCAGGTTACCATTATGACAGTCAATTCACCTCTGAAAATAAGGCCAGGACAATAATATTATAGAGACGTTACATTCGAGATCTACTTATTTCCTAAATAGTCTAAACATATTTTTTTTTTTTTTTTTTATATTTATATTTTTTGAAATAATGAGTATTCACGATAAAATAATCACTCTGTATAGTCTCTGAATTAAATGTTGTCCTAGACGGAAAATATAAATACAATTGTATACTTCAATACTACTATACTACTCAATCGACCTAACCCGAATTGCCGAGTTTATATTAATTACTCTCCTTATTTCTTTAGAGTTCTTTTAATCGATTTGACCCGAACTTTGATAATTTTATTTTATCAAAGTAACAAAATATAAATTAAACTTAAATACTCTTGAGACGTTTGCACTGTTTGTATTTTTGTTTATGTTTTTTTTTTTTTTTTTAATTTGTATTTTGTAATACTATGACATCTACGTTTTAATTTTCGAATGTACGGACACCTTTAACGAACGACGGTATAACTTAATTATTAAATACGATTGCTGATGGGTTTGAATAAAAGATCAAATCAAAACAAAAACACAAACCAAATTTAATTATAGAAAATGTTATAATAGCAGCATTGGCAGCAGCAGATAATCGTTACGCGCGTTTGGAAATACCCGTGTTATTTTTCACAAAAAAAAAAAAAAAAACACTTAATAATATTTTATTATTATTATATTCTTTTTCATCAAAACGATTAAGATCCCAGTCACCGTTGTATACTTTTACACTATATAGGTGTTAAAATCACGACACGATACTTTTATACAAAATAAGGCGTACCGAATAAGGGTGCCGGGTGGCGGGAGGAAAGTAACGCGGCAAATAATAATTCGTTTTACTCCGTCATTAATATCTTTCGAACGCGGCTCGGCACTATCAAACGGACACATTTCCCCGCCGTCGGCCCGATGATAAAATGTACGTCATCGCTAATGAGGAATGAAGCGACGCGCCGCTATCGTTATTTAATTTTTCAAATGGAAACTGTCGTTAACTATCGAATATAACACGGCCGAGATTATTATTATTATTATTTTTTTTTTTTACGATAATTTCCACGCGATGCAATCTATAGTTTTGATCGAACAACGGACGGTGGCAGAGACGCGCGCTGCAGTGAGCGCGTCGTGTCGTTTCGGGCCAGAGAGCCGCGGAGAAGAGGCGAAAAAGACGCGCGGAACAGAAAATAATGATTGATGGGCCGGAGAAATTATATCACCCTCTCCTACCACCTCCGCCACTTCCGCCGTCCTTAACTACTTCTCCGAAGTCCCTCCCACCACCGAAACGCTGCTGGCAATAAAGCTTTTCGATAGCGAGTCGATAGGTCGTCAAACACTCGTTAAAAGTGTCCGAAACGCGCTCGTCTATAGACGCACGAATATAAATAAACTCGGACGCCAAAACGTTATTCGATGTAATTTCCGATAGTGTATAGCGAAGAAGCTATTAATTTTATTAAGATGCATTGTTTTTTTTTTTTTTTACTACTCGGAAAATATACGTTTTGGGTCATAGAAAAAACAACCTTGGAAAATGGGCATTTTCCGGCCGGCGGCGGTGGGTTATTCGAGACATATTTTTTTTTACTGTAATATATATTTATATATAAATTTAATCACTTTCAGTTATCAAACTTTCTACGCGAAAAACCGACGATTTATGTAATGCATTTTTATCACGACGATGATATCACATTGTTCGGCCGAATAATAATTATTAATTATACACGGAGTATTATCACACTAGTACAATAATTATACTACGGTAATATGCACCGCCCGCAAAATCGGTTTTGTCAAAATCCCATTCAAGTGTTACCGTGTAACGCGAATATCTCATAAAAATATTGTATTTTAACCGTAATCGAAAAAAAAAAAAAGTATAACAACGGCGAGTAACTTTCAACCATCCACGGAACCTTTGAACTACGAGCGAATACAGATAATCAGTGTAAAACTGTAACCAGTATGCTCTATACCGTATACTGTTTGAAACAAAATATTATTATAATATACCGGCTACCACTTTTAAATTAACTTTCCTTCAACACGATAATAATAACAATATTCAAGAACGAAACTTTTTCAGCGGCGATTTGACGGAGCCGAATGGGGTTTTTTTTTTTTTAGCGTACAAATTAAAAAAAAAAAAACTTTACAAAGGAATCCCTCGCGCAACACTGCGCAGAATATTTATATAATAATAATAATAAAAATAAAAATAATAATTATAATCTATTTTGTTTCCGAAACTTTTAAATTAAAATATATAGTCATCACGAGCGGTATAAATATTCTCTCGTATACCTGCGGCCTACGGCTATATTATTATTATTCATTTTCGCCTCGGTGTGCTTAAGTATACCTACGTAATATAAAAACGCTTTTGGAGAACGTACACAATACGCGAAAAGTCATTACGGGGGAAAAAAAAAACCAATTACGATACTGTCGATAATAAGGAAGGAAATATGAATGGCCAGATAATGATATCATCGTAAATAATGCAATCATTATCGATTCGATCGCGGACCGCACACAGGTGTCAATACGATATTTGTCTGTAGAATCTCGAAAGAACCCCCCCCCCCGTATTTGTGTTTATTTCACGGAACACAACAATAATACAATTTTTATGCGACAGATCGATAAGAGCCCGTGGAAAAATATTGTCATATTATTTTATGGGAGTACTGTCTTGAGGTATCTATATGCTATGTATCGATCTGTGTACAAAAAAAAAAAAAAAAAACGGTTTTCCAAGTATGCGCTTTTGTTGGTTATTTTTTTTTAAACGAAAATTCGATTTGTTTTCTTGGTCAATGAATACAACGGCGACGTTTCTAATTCTCTTGACCTGAATACATTTCTATTCGGTGTCTTGTAAAAACAAACCAGCAACATTATATACCTATACATTCAGAGGTACACAACAAAACGTACAGCACAGTGCATATACAGTCGAAAAAGCCCTTTTTATTCTCCAGACAAAATGGACGGGGGTGAAAGAAAAGTTGATGAAAAAAAAAAAACTCTTGTTAGGTATATAGACGAACGGTGGTGGCGCATAAAGTGCATAGTATCCGCACAATTTCTGGTGAGTATAAAATATATATAGAGATTTCTGTCGTGCGTAAAACCGTAGCATTCGGCCCGTTGTTTTTACAACTGTAGAGTGAGCGGGAGAGAAATACCGCTGGGATCGATAATAATATCCGAAGCAGCCTTTTTTTTCCCTTCTTCGTATATTTATACAAGGATCTCTCGACCCACAGCCCCACTAAACGCATACACGAACCGGGTGACCGGGGCGGGCAGAGAGGAGAAACCGACCCCAAAAAGTCAAACGTCTTCTCGACCCCTATATATTATGTACAAATCCGCATCTATGTGTATATACCAGTATATATGTGTGTGTGTGTGTGTGTGTGTGTGTGTTTGTGTGTGTGCATTTACGGTCGTGTATCTAATTATCGTTTTGTACCGTCAGCGCGGATAACACGGAGGATTTTCCCGCAAAATCCCATCGATTTCCTAAAATGCCCGGTAAAACGGTTCGCCCGACATCGTGGATATAACCGATATTATATATATAGAGAAAATGATGATATATGAAATTCGTTTTATTTTTTACCCTCGATTAACGATAACAAAAAAAAAAAAAAAACTCTATATGTATATATATATATATAATATAATAATATACCTATAAGGAAGTATAAAAAAAGAAAATACGAAAATAATGAAAAGGGGGAAAAACTGCGTGCGTATTTTCAGCACACTATGCTGACTGACGGTGTATAATATAATAATACCATCCCGTCGTCGTCTGTAGTTTTATTCGTGTCACGCTCGTATAATAAAGTAATGTTCTAATGTATACGTAACTTATATAGTGCGGGATATACGAAAAAGAAATTTGAAAGGATTAAAAGAAAAAAAAAACCCTTAACTTATAAGCTAGAAAACGTGTTTCCACAAATTTTGCTGTCGAACAACGTTTTAAATTAAATGAAACTTCATAAGTTCTTGAGAGTTTATAACATCCATTTTTTTTCGACGCCAAAAACAACATTATTATGTCTCTACAGCTTTTAGATTCTTTAGCTTCTCTTTGAAAACTTCGATTAAATTTTGTTCATACCAACTGCAACCTGAAGGGAAGAGAGACCTTTCCGTCGAGCTCCCATTCTGAAGCCATTCAAACGTCATTATCCTCTGATTTCAACTTTTCGTTACACGTTCTAGATTTTTTAGTTTACAGTCTTGTATTTTATAAAAACCAGTGCCGATTCTACTGCGTTACATGATGGCTCCTCAAATTTTATTTACGTCAATTGTTTGTTTTTTATCATAAACGTGCTCGTACATTTATTTCGACACTCCACTGTTTCAAGGGAGTTTTCAAAATATATTTAATTCACTAATACATGTAAACGGTTGATAAAAATAAAACCCTTCAATGACGCACGACGTGCAAATAGAATTGTGTGCGAGAACTAATGAAAAACGTCCGTGTTATTGCAGCAACACAGTAAACGACACTTAGGCTACATTGGCACGACACAAATGAGTACGAAACGACTTGTCGAGCTTGTGCGCCGCACGCGGTTTTTAATATTATTACATTTTAAATATAAACCAACAATATAGAAACTTGATAAACAATCTCTTTTGAAAATATTTGCGGGAAAAGGCCATGCACGACGACGATGGCGACGAAATATCCTGGGGGTGTTTTTCAAATTAGGTGACACCCGACAAACTTGTTTTTTTTTCTCCCGAACGAATCTGCGTCTCGTGAGAGATTTGATTTTGTCGGTCGAAAAAAAACGAAATAAATAATAATTTACTCGCTTGCGCTACTATCAATCCGGCTGTCGCCTTTACTACTGCAGGAAATGGTTCTCGCGACGATTTCGTGTTAGACGTTACCAAAACCGTATATGAGAACACCTGCAATACTGTGGTACCTGTCGGCATGATAATAATAAAAAATTTAATTCGATAATAGTATTGTCAATATAGATATAATCTGAGAATCATATTATGTACAAATATGTTTGTATAAGTATACGTTCAAAAACAATTCAGAAAACTCCAATGTATTTATAACGAAAACTCTGAAGTATTTTACAAAAGAGTACAAATTATATTTTATTATAGCGTAACAAGCGTATTCAATTATATTAAAGTGGACGAAAATCGTTTTTGAATAAAAATTGGACAACAGCCACATAAATTGGTCTCTTCTTTAGACAATATAATGTACACGACGAAATAGAACGCTTTTGTTTTTTGTTTTTTTTTTTTTTTCTGTCTGTTCTTAATCGACTCAGAGCGCATTATATTGTACAGCTTGATACTTATACTGAATTTTAAACGCACAAAAATTATCTTAATTATTTAAACCGGAGATGATGACAAAACGCGGAAAAAAAAACAAACAAAACATTATATTGGATTTTTCTTTCTTGTTCTAGAAAAAACAAAAGTCGTTTGAAAAACTCTCGAGTATAAATCCCCGGTAAAGAGCTTTTCGTTTCGTGTTATCCCCGTCACCACCAGTTCGTTTTGTTTTTAATTCTTTTTAAAAAGTACACATATATAAATATATGCATATTTTGTTTTTCATTTTAAAGGTATTAAATTCTAACCAGGCAGAGATAACTCTATTATTGGTTTGGAAAAACATACCGCGCTTGAGAGAGTCAGACTTGTAGTTAAGCTCTTCGATAAACTGATCAAAAATAATTTGTATAACACTTCTTGTTAATGATATTGATATGAGAATTGAATACTCATTAAGACGATCGATGACATTGGTGTTGTTTAAAAAGGAATAATTTACAATTGTTTTAAATTCTTTGAAAAACACAACTATAAGCTCATTTCGTTTATACGAGACCTTTGCCGCAAATATACTGTATAAATTAGTCAGATAATTGACAAATATTGTATTTTTTCAAAATTATTCCGAATATTTTAGATCGCCTATTGCGATTTCCAAAGTAATGAACACAAATTGTCAAATAGATTATACTAATCACAGATTTTAAAATTTAAAAAAAAAACCGATTACGATCCGTCGCTCTTTTATAAAATATTTTTAATATACAATTATTAAAAAAATAAATAAGGCAGTATTAACGGAGATAAAATTATCGGTTCAATTCTAGAGTTGGTCAAAAGAGACCAAGGGAAGAACAGAAGTAAAATAAAGTATGCGTTTGAGGAAACACGACAGAAAAAGTTAACGACAATACGTAGTCAGAGCTGAAGTTGAGAGTTCAAATACCTAGAATATTTTGATCAAAAAAACTATAGCTTTTATTAGGATGTAAATACAGAAATAAGTGTGGTTAGAAATAAAGTGGAGAGAAGCATCAGGTCTATTATGTGATAAGCGAATTCTAATGTAACCGAAAGTTAAGTTTTACAAAAGTTTGGTGAAACTGACTAAAATGCTCAGTTCGGAATGTTAAGCGATTAATAGAAAAATACAACAGTGGATGATTGTAGCAGAAATGAGAAAGAATACTTCGACGGATGAGTGGAGTGTCAAAGAAAAATGGGTATGGCATTGTTGCATAAGAGGTAGCGTTAAAGGTGTGGCTTCAATAGTAGACAAAATGAGAGAAAATAAACGGACATGGTTTGGGCATATTGTCAGAAAAGAGGAAACAGAATCAATATACAATGTAATGAAAATATACGTAGAAAGAAAAAGTTGGTGAAAAGGACAGAATAAGAGATGATTGGATGCGCTTGAAAATGATATGAGATATATGATGGAAAATCGGGTCGAATGGAATTTTAGAACGAAGATCAACCACAAATAGTCGGAATATAGGTGAAGGAGAAAAGTTGGTCAAATAACGATTTTACTCAATTTTCTCGAGTCAACTGTACAATTATTTTTTAACTAAACATAAAAAAATTCTACGTCTAGATATTAATTACGTATATTGTTAAACCCAAATATTTCCTGTATGAATAACACACTGACGGTTTAAATTTACAAAAAAAAATTGTTATTGTAATAGTGTATTATGATAACGAAATTTATGTTTAGTTTCGCAGTTAGTCAGTGTACCCAAATCGACCAATGTTTTTTTG